GACGAACTTGTCACTCAGGTTGAACGGGGGCAAGTTCGTCGGCTTTATTTTGATAGTTGTTGAAGCTGTCGTTGCCGTTGGTACTATTGTTGCTGCTGATGCTGGTGTCGGCACGGTTCTTGACTCTTGCGCCCGCCTCTCTTCTGCAGCGTCCAAGGTGCGGAGAGTCACCCTACAACGGGAGTGGACTACGGAGGAGGGCACGGGGTTGTGTGGGTAATCGTTGCGCTCCAGTAGCATTCTTTACTGCTTGCTGTGTTCACAGAGAAATTTGGCAAGAGTTTCACTAAGGAATTGAAAATGACATTAAAATCTGGCAAGAGTTTCACTAAGGAAATTGGAAATTGAGAATATAGTATAAAATGAGGCATGCAAGTCGATATGACTACAATGGCATTGCAGCCCCTAGCAAGCATTTTGCAAGGCGAATAACCAGCACAGCATTAGAGCGGCTCTCCAACGCTGCAACAGAGCGGCCTGCCAGCATAGCAGAAGGACGACGTGCCAACGCTGCAGCAGGGTGGCCTGCCAGCGTTGCAATCGCATGTGAATTTCTGCGCACATGTGCGCACCTACCAAGTAGGTGCAGGTTGATGGTTTCACCTTCACGCACATTGCATAGGTGCCAGGTAGAAAACGTGTCGTCGGTTTTGCCAGGTGTCAACCGTCGGGAACGTGACGCCGTTCCGCAGGTCGACTTTCGCTAAAACCTCCTGAGCGAAGTTCGCATGCCCTCGCAGAGTTTTGCTGTCACGCGAGTTCGGCCGACCAGTTCGCCGAGACGAGGTTCGCCGAACAGCACCCTTGGATCAAAGAACGAGGCTTCTCGAAAAGCACCCCGTCCGTCAGACTTCGCGTGACTCACTAGCAGATCAGAGGACGAGCTCGTCGAGCAACACCCCGCCGACCAGAGCTCGTCGATGGGCTAGCCGAACAGAGGACAACGTCGTCGAAAACCACCCTTCATTTCAGAGGACGGGCTGATCAACGACCTCTGTTTGTCTCAATTCAAGAGCCAATGCAACGGCCTCTTCGTCGAATTCACCATGTCATCGCAAGGAACGTCAGCGCCCAAGCGAGGGCAGGGCCTTCCACTTTGACACAAGGAGCCTTCCAAGTCACTGAAAACGGCCTCGTTCAAGGTGTAGATTCCACTTGACACATCCGCCATGGGCGACTCCTGGCGCGCTTCACCTCGCGCCTGAAGTAGTTTGGCGTTTTCCACTCTCAGACGTTCGAACTTATCAGACGACGCCAACATGTTGGTCTGCATCGCCCAAAACTGTTGCATCATCTTCTTCAACTCTGCCTGGTCCATGTTTTGCAGGCTTCGTCGGACGGGCAGGGAATGATTAGGAATTTTTATTACTTTGATGAAGGCGCAAGCTCTACCAAGTATATCGCCTCCCTTACACGAACTACCCCAAAACGCAAGGGTAACTTGGGAAAGTAGCTCTAACCTATGAACTGTATGAAGAAGAGTGTGGGAATGCAATAATGCGATAGTGATTACAATCTCTGAATGAATAACGAGGCCTAGCACAGATATATCGAAGGCTAGCTATCGTCATGCCTGAGCTATACCCCCAGGTGGGGGTATAAAAAAACCTAGAAAAATGGTGATTGGGCTTATAATGTGGCATTTTTTATAACCCTATGGGGGAAATAAATGACACTTACGATTTTTTGTGTTAAGGACATAAAACTGTAGAGCTCGTGATTGCGATTTAATTAGCAAAGAGAACAGAATTGGTTCAATGGCGAAAGTTCGAGAAAAGGCCCACGGGCAAAGATTCATGCGCCAGCGCATCCAGTGTGGCCAAACTCTGGCCAATCGGCTCACCAGGCGGCGCATGGTGATGCCAACGGGCGGAGAATTGAGGTGTGCAGTGGGGGGGCAGTCCATGTTCTTTGAATCCATGCCAACAAGGCAGGGTTTGAACAAGGGCGGTCCAATAGGAAGGGGATGCGGCAAGATTCCCTTCCTATCCCCCTCGTTGTGACACCTGGATCCTCTGCGGGTACCTTGTGGACGCTCCACAGGTGCTCGATGAGGAACCCGGGGCGCCTTCTTGACAGGGGTCTTGAGGGGGTTCTCATAATTGACTCTCGTTCCAAGAATGAGAGTGTTCCTTTCTTTCCAAAGCCTGTCCTAGAGCCTACGCCATGGGGGGACTGCCTGCCTTGGCGTTTCTTTTTAGAAGGCCCCCTAGGACTGGTGTCCGCCATGATGACCCTTGGCACCGCTCCTCGCATCCTGCGCCTCCGAATACTTCTGTGCCACCAGCCCCACCAGCGCCACCAGCCCCGCCTGCGCTACCTGCTCCTCCCTCTCCTCCTGTTCCTCCCGTGTTTATGAATGGTCAGCCGAAACTAATGCTGCTTTTGCATGGTTTCGTCCCAGCCGCCAACGCGACCGAGCCTACCGGGAATGACACGGGAGCCGACACCGCGTCTGAGACTGCCGAGAATAGAGGCACTACTGGAAATGAAGATGTCCCACACCCCGAGCATGTTTGGCATGACGACGACGACTGGCTCGAACCGGCTGCCGGTGACGGGATTCCTAAACACCTCCCGATCCCCACGTTTCTCCCTCCTAATCGAAAACGCACTCATCCCTTGCGTGCGAATCGAGATTCCCGTCCCCCCTCCCCCAGAAACAAGACTACGATTCGAAAACGGCATGCTTACATCACCGGCAAGAAGCTCAAGTGGGTGGATCACCTAGAAGTCGTTCACAACGTGAGCGAGGTCGCGCGCAAATCGGCATTTCCCATCGTTCCATCACCAAGTGGGTCGCGAAGCGCAAGGAGCTGGAGGCTGCCGCGAAGTGTCGAAAACGTCTTCACGGGCATGGGCGCTCCTCGTGGTACCCCGAAATAGAGCTCGAGGTGTATACACGTCTGCTGGCCACACGGACGAAAGGCGTTGCAGTGTCTGTGGGGAGACTAAAGCAGTGGTCCCACGAGTCCATGAAGGTTTTGTACCCCGATGTCAAGTGGAAAGGGTCGCAACGTTGGACCAAGAGGTTCCTGTCAGAATCCCAGCCACTAACCACTTGGATAAAAGGGCTTGTTTGTGTAGCGGGTGAGTGCGCTCATAACCCCCCAGGCCGCCATGCCTGTAACCCTTCCCTAGGATCAATCGGGGATCACCAGTGGACCTCTGACACCCCCCCGCACTGGGATGCCCGAGGTGCACACACCGGGATTCGAACCCGAGACCTTCGCTCTGATACAATGTCAGAATCCCAGCCACTAACCACTGGGATAAAAGGGCTTGTTTGTGTAGCGGGTGAGTGCGCTCATAACCCCCCAGGCCGCCATGCCTGTAACCCTTCCCTAGGATCAATCGGGGATCACTAGTAGACCTCTGACAGTTCCGGCGGCGCTGGAACCTTTCGGTGCGTTGCAAAACCAAAGTCGGCCAGAAGCTATCCGACTGTGAGTATTGTATGTCGCCTGTACACGCGTATCTTCTTGTGGATGTGTTTAATATGTTTATTCTTTCTGTCTTTTATGTTCGTTCACAGAGTGCAAGGTTCAAGTGAAGAAGTTCTGGACTTTCGTCCGCAACATGCGGCGCTTCTATGACATCGAGCCGCGCTACATCATCAACTTGGAACACCCTTGTGGCTGGAGATGCCTGCCGACACGACCGTCGAAGAGATCGGTGCGCGGTCAGTGCCGGTTCGAAGCGCAGGACACCAGAAGGAACGGGTGATGGTCATGTTGGCGTGCGCAGCTTTGGGCGAGAAGTTGAAGCCCTGGATTCTCTTTAAGAGGAAGCGACTGTCAAACATTATATATGTTGTGGTTGTTTAGGCTACAGTGGGTTAGCCTTTAGGGGGTACACAATTCTAGGGTTAGGTACTTGTACTCATTTCACTGCTAGTTCAATCATTCCTGCCTGTTCATTTCAACATGGTTTCAGAGCAGGTCCTTCGCTAGGACCGTTTTTTCTAGGGCCCACCCACCTACCTATCTACCTACCTACCTACCTACCTACCTACCTGCGCCCTAGGGCGCCTCGTTTTTCACGGCCCCCTAAGGCCCCGCGACCCGCGACCCGCCCCTTAGCGACCCGCGCGCCGCCCCTTAGCGACCCCGTCGGCCCCGCGTTCGCCCCCTATCGGCCCCTTACGGCCCCGCGCTCGCCCCTAGAGGCCCCTTACGGCCCCGTCGCAGCCCCTTAGAGGCCCCGTCCGCCCCGCGCGCCGCCCCTAGAGGCCCTCCTATGGCCCCGTCGGCCCCGCGCGCCGCCCTTTAGGGGTCCCGTCGACCCCGCGCGTCGCCCCTTAGAGGCCCTGCTGGCCCCGTCGACCCCACCCGCTGCCCCTAACTTCCCCGCACGCGACCGCACCGGCCCCGCCACACCCAGGCCGCCCGAACCGAACCGCGCAGCCCCCACCGAGCCGCGCCGCCCTAACCGAGCCGCGCCGCCCTACCTGAACCGAGCCGCGCCGCCCGTCCTGACCGGCCTCCCTAAACCGAGCCGCCCTACCTGAGTCGCGCTGCCTACTACTGTTAGGGTGCACCTACTGCTGCTATTCTACTGCTACTATGGCTAGCCCTCCTGTGCTAGCTTTCGATACTGAGGGACGTCCAGTGAAATTTGACACCTGGCTAGATGATCTGCACCTTTTCCTACAGCTCACTGCCAAGGAAGACATCTCACTGTACGATCACGCCCTAGGCCATGCCACTGCACCTGCTACTACTGCTGACAGCTCTACCCGCTCACAGTGGCAGACTCGTGACGCCCACGCTCGCTTTGCTATTCGTAACTCCCTGCCGATAGACGAACGCGAGCACTTTGGCCAGCACAAGACTGCACAGGACCTGTACAAAGCTGTCGTTGCCCGCTACTCCTCACCTGCCTCTGCCGCACTAGGCCGTCTCTCGCTTCCCTACCTGTTCTCCGACTTGTCCTCTTTCCACACAGTCGCTGACCTCATCACGCACCTCCGTACTAGTGAGGCCCGCTTCCGTGCTGCCATGCCCGCCGAGTTCCTTGCCAAGAACCCCCCCCCGCTCTGGCTCACTCTCTACCACCTAGTCACCCGCCTCCCTGACTCTCTGCGTGCAGTCAGGGATTCCTTCCTCGCTTGCTGCCCTACTGAGCTCACCATTGCCCTCCTCGAGAAGGAACTGCTTGCAGCTGAGGCTAGCATAGTCGCTGTAGGTGCCTCTCGTGGCGACCCCCGCACCCCGTTCTTTGAGGGGTGTTCTCCTTCCCCCCTTCTTCCCTCTGTCGCCTCTGCTGCTGCTGTCGACCTCCTTGGTGCTGAGAAGGTCGGGACTGCGTCTGCTTCGAGCGGACGCCGCAGCGGCAAGGGCAAAGGGGGCAAGGGAGGCGGAGGTGACGGTGGGGGAGGAGGTGGTGGGGGCGGTGGCGGCGGTGGGGGTGGTGGCGGGGCTGGAGGGGCGAGTGGCGGCGGTGGAGGTGGTGGCGGCAGCGGCGGGGGAGGCGGCAGGGGCGGGGGCGGTGGTGGGGGTGGCGGTGGACGCGGCGGCGGCAGGGGTTGGGGTGGTCGAGGAGGTGGGGGCGGAGGTGGTGGTCGTGGAGGCGCTGGCGGTGGTCCGAGCCAGCAGCACACTCCGTCGCCCCAGGAGGTCCGTGGGTGGTACGCTCAGCACGGGGGGGGGGGGGGGGGTGGCTTTACCTGCACGTATGTCATTCGCACTGGTCAGCAGTGTGGGGGACCGCACGCCACGCAGCGCTGCTTCGCTCGCCTCAACGACGCTTGGCGTGTTCAGTTCTCTCAGGCCACTGAGCTGCCGCGCTGGCTTGATCTCCTGAAGAAGGGGATTGATATCTATGCTCTAGACTTTGATGCTATTCTTACTGCCATGTATGTGATGTCTACTAGTGGAGAGGGTGCTGAGTACCTGTGTGTTCCGCCCGACCCAGGCATTAGGGCTAGTGCGTCTGCCGCTTCAGGTACTCGCGTGTCTGCTACCCCAGGTGCTGGTGCGGCTGCTGCTCTAGGTGCTTGTGCGTCTGCGCCCCCTGGTACTGAGTCGACTGAGGCACTGCACACCTTCACACTGGACTCCGGTGCTTCTCGCTGTTTCTTCCGTGACCGCACTGTCCTTGAGCCACTTGCTCGGCCAGTTGCTGTCTCCCTCGCTGACCCCTCTGGGGGCCCGGTCGTTGCGACCTCCTCCGCTGTCCTTCCCTGTCCTGCGGTCTCGTCAGGCACACTGTCCGGTCTCCACCTCCCCTCGTTCTCTACGAACCTGGTGGCAGGGTGTGCGCTCCAGGACGCGGGTGTTCACCAGTTCACCCCTGCCTACGAGCGCGTGACACACTGCACGTGTGCTCGTACGGGCCGTCACTTGGCTACCTTCACTAGACAGCCGGGGTCGGACCTGTACACACTGACCACTGAGTCCCCTCAGGTCGCTGCGTCTGCGTCTGCGTCTGCGTCCGGTCAGCTGTCGGCCCCCTGCTCGTGTCGCTCTCTCGCGCACGAGACTGTCCTCTGGCACCACCGACTTGGCCACCCGTCTGTGCAGCGCCTTCGTGCCATGCACTCCCGGTACCTTGTCTCTGGTCTTCCCAGGGTTCTCCCTCCCCTCCCACCCTCGCCTGCTCCTCCCTGTCTTCCCTGTGTCGAGGGGCGGCAGCGCGCCGCTCCTCACTCCTCCTCGTTTCCCCCGACGACTGCTCCCTTGCAGACACTCCACATGGACGTGTGGGGCCCAGCCCGCGTCCGTGGTCAGGGTCAGGAGAGGTACTTCCTGATAGTTGTTGACGACTACTCGCGCTACACCACGGTCTTCCCCTTGCGCACCAAGGGTGAGGTCCCTGATGTTTTGATCCCTTGGATCCGCAGAGCTCGTCTCCAGCTCAGCGAGCGTTTCCACTTGGACTTTCTTGTCCTGCGCTTGCACTCTGACAGAGGTGGTGAGTTCTCCTCCGACCTCTTGGCAGCCTACTGTGCTGAGCACAGCATTGAGCAGTCGTTCACGCTTCCGGCCTCTCCACAGCAGAATGGGGTTGCGGAGCGCCGCATTGGCCTAGTCATGGAGGTCGCCCGTACCTCCTTGATCCATGCGGCTGCCCCCCACTTTCTGTGGCCGTTTGCGGTCCAGTACGCTGCGCATCAGCTCAACCTCTGGCCCCGTGTCTCCATGCCGGAGACCTCGCCCACACTGCTGTGGACGGGGGAGGTTGGCGATGCGTCGCGTTTCCGGGTCTGGGGATCTCGAGCCTTTGTCCGCGATACGTCCACGGACAAGCTCTCCTCCCGCGCTGTTCCCTGCGTCTTCCTTGGCTTTGTCCCTGACGCGTCTGGTTGGCAGTTTTACCACGCCACCTCGCGCCGGGTCCTGCCCTCTCAGGACGTCACTTTTGACGAGTCCGTCCCCTACTACCGCCTCTTCCCCTACCGCACTGCCCCGCTCCCCCCCCGCCTCTCTTCCTCGCACCAGGTGCTGCTGTGGTAGACCCCCTCCCCCCTCAGGGTGCCGCTCCCTCAGGTGTGTCCCAGGTAGACCCGGTTGAGCCTGTTGAGGTAGCTGTTGACTCTCGCCCTGCTGCGGGTACGGGGCCTGGGAGTGCGGAGCCTGGGGGTGCTGAGCCTGGGGGTGCGGAGACTGGGGGTGCTGAGCCTGGGGGTGCTGAGCCTGGGAGTGCTGAGCCTGAGGGTACTGAGCCTGGGAGTGCTGAGCCTGAGGGTACTGAGCCTGGGGGTGCTGAGACGCGGAGTCCGGTGTCTGGGGGTTCTGAGTCTGGGGGTGCTGAGCCTGGGAGTCCTACACCTGGAGGAGCTCTCTCCTCGGAGCAGCTGCGTGAGTGGTACTCAGAGTACTGCAGCCTCAGGAGAGGTGCCTCTGGAGCCCGGAGTACTACTGGGACGGGTGCTGGTGCCTCCCCCCCTCCGCGGGAGCTGCCCTCTCTTGAGCGGATCCGTGAGTGGTACGAGCGGCGCTGCACTCTCCGGAGTGGCGCGCCTGGTGTCCCGGACCCTGGTGCTGGAGTTGGAGCTGCTGCTGGTGCTGCGGACCCTGGAGTTGGAGCTGCTGCTGGTGCTGCGGACCCTGGAGTTGGAGCTGCTGCTGGTGCTGCGGACCCTGGAGTTGGAGCTGCTGCTGGTGCTGCGGACCCTGGAGTTGGAGCTGCTGCTGGTGCTGCGGACCCTGGAGTTGGAGCTGCTGCTGGTGCTGCGGACCCTGGAGTTGGAGCTGCTGCTGGTGCTGCGGACCCTGGAGTTGGAGCTGCTGCTGGTGCTGCGGACCCTGGCGTTGGAGCTGCTGCTGGTGCTGCGGACCCTGGAGTTGGAGCTGCTACTGGTGCTGCGGACCCTGACATTGGAGCTGCTGCTGGTGCTGCACGGCCCCGGCCGTACTTCGTTCCGCTCCTTCAGCAGGTTCTTGGTCAGCCTCCTCCTCCTTGTCCTGCTCCCTCCTCAGAGTGTCCTCCGCCTGTCCAGTCGCAGTCCCCGTTACCGCCTGCCTTGCCACTCCCTGGTCCTTCTCCTTACACTGGTCCCACAGGAGGTCTTACGGAGCGTCGTGAGCCTGAGTCTCGTCCTGTGTCGCCTGCGTCTCGCTCTGCGTCGCCTGTTCGTGCTGCTCGCACTGGTCGTCGTGTCCCGCGTGAGCGTCCTCCTCCTGTCACTGGCACTCACTACATGACTCTGCGTCCCTCCACTGCTCCTCAGCGCGTCCCTCTGCCGTCTCCTCCTGCGTCCTCTCTTCCTACCCTTCCTGACCCGGAGTCTGACTCCCTTCGTGCTGCTCGTCCTACTGTCACGCGTCTCCTCGCTACTGTTGTCACTGACCCTACCTTTGAGTCCTCTGCTGCGTCTGCTCTTGTCGCTGAGTTAGTTGACTTTGCTGCCGCTTGTCGTCTCGACTACGCCGCTAGCCTTGTTGCTGAGTCTGGGTCTGTCTGTCCTCCGTCCGTCGGGGGTGAGTGTGCTCTTGGCACGGACGTCCTTGAGGACAGGCAGGAGGAGTTCCAATGCTTTGCTGCTGCTTTGCCTCATCTCGTGTCCATGCTAGTTGCCCCTGAGGGAGACCCGGATGCACCAGACATCCCGACCCCGCGCTCTTACGCAGAGGCGATAGCGGGTCCCTACTCCTCTCAGTGGTAGACAGCCATGGACGCAGAGATGGCTTCTTGGAAGTCCACAGGCACCTACGTCGACGCAGTTCCCCCACCAGGGGCGAACATCGTCAGTGGCATGTGGATTTTCAGGGTGAAGCGGCCGCCGGGTTCTCCGCCTGTCTTCAAGGCGCGTTACGTTGCTCGAGGCTTCAGTCAGCGTGAGGGAGTCGACTTCTTCCAGACCTTCTCCCCCACCCCGAAGATGACCACTCTTCGGGTGCTGCTGCACATAGCCGCTCAGCGCGACTACGAGCTTCACTCTCTTGACTTCAGCACTGCTTTCTTGCAGGGTAGCCTGCACGAGGAGATCTGGCTGCGCCGCCCTCCTGGCTTCACTGGGTCGTTTCCTCCTGGTACCCAGTGGAGCCTCCGGCGGCCGGTCTACGGTCTCCGCCAGGCACCACGTGAGTGGCACGACACACTGAGGAGGACACTTGCGGCACTTGGGTTCGCACCTTCTACTGCTGACCCGTCGCTGTTTCTGCGCACCGACTCTTCGCTGCCGCCGTTCTACATCCTCGTGTACGTCGACGACTTGGTCTTTGCCACTGCTGACACTGAGGCTCTCGCCCACGTGAAGTCGGAGCTGCAGAAGAGACACACGTGCACAGACCTGGGTGAACTGACAAGCTATCTTGGCTTGCGGATCACCCGGGACAGAGCACGGCGCACCATTACCTTGACTCAGTCACACATGGTGCAGCAGGTCCTTCAGCGCTTCGGCTTCACGTACTCCTCGCCTCAGTTCACTCCTCTGCCTACCGGTCACTCGCTCTCAGCTTTGCCTTCGGATGAGTCCGTAGAGCCGAGTGGCCCGTATCCAGAGCTTGTGGGCTGCCTCATGTACCTGATGACCTGCACTCGACCTGACCTTGCATACCCTCTTAGCATTCTTGCACGCTATGTCGCTCCTGGCCGTCACCGGAAGGAGCACATGGATGCCGCTAAGAGGGTGTTGCGCTACTTGTGCAGTACGTCGGGCATGGGGCTAGTGCTTGGAGGGCGAGACCGAGTTGTTCTCACTGGGCACTCAGACGCTTCTTGGGCGGACGACCAGGCCACTCAGCGGTCGTCTCAGGGTTACACCTTCAGCCTTGGCTCTGGTTCAGTTTCTTGGCGTTCTACACGTTCTTCTTCAGTTCTCAGCTCCAGTTGTGAGGCTGAGATCTACGCCACAGCCATGGCAGCCCAGGAGCTACGCTGGCTCACCTACCTGCTGACCAACTTGGGAGAGCAGCCTCGTTCTCCTCCAGTGCTGTACGTCGACAACAAGGCTGCCATTTCCTTGTGTGAGGAGCACAGACTGGAGCACAGAACGAAGCACATCGCTCTGCGGTACTTTCTGGCTCGTGAGCTGCAGCAGCGTGGTCAGCTTTGTCTGCGTTACGTGGCCACTCAGGCCAACACTGCTGACGTGTTCACCAAGGCGCTTCAGCCTTGTGACCATCAGCGCTTCTGTACTCTTCTAGGCCTTGTGCCTATTGGACCTCACTTGCTTACTTCTTGACTTTGCTTGTACTGTGATCTCTATATATTTGCCTGCATGCTTTCACTTGCTAGGTTGTGATCACTGTACCTCTTGTTATATTATCAAACTGCATGTGAACTGGTCTTGTGACCACTTGCTTGTGCTCGGAATTTGTGTGGTATCCCTTGAGATCCACCCTGAGCTTGCTTGTGCTTTGCTTTGCTCTGACTGGTCTTGTGACCCCTTGTTCTCCCCCACTTTGCCTATGGGGGTGTGTCAAACATTATATATGTTGTGGTTGTTTAGGCTACAGTGGGTTAGCCTTTAGGGGGTACACAATTCTAGGGTTAGGTACTTGTACTCATTTCACTGCTAGTTCAATCATTCCTGCCTGTTCATTTCAACAGCGACCTCCTCGCGGTGATTTCCCATCCGGTATGTTGTACAGGTAGTGAATCGTTGTAATTATATGTTTGCGCTGTTAATGATAACCTTCGCGATGCCTTGCCCTGTCCCGTCTGCAGATATGGTCGTCGCTGCGCAACCGAACAGGTGGATGGACGCTGACGGCGTCGTCAAGTGGCTCGACGAGGCTGTACGGCCTTATACCCGACCGACCTTCGGTCGTCGTGCACAGAGGACCATGCTGATACTGGACTCTTATCGCGGACACCTCACTGATGCAGTCAGGGCGAAGTATGAGGAGCCGAACATCGTTCTCGGCGTGATACCTGCTGGCTGCACTTCAGAGGTGTAGCCGCTCGATATGT